TAGAAGCTACTAGTAACAAGGACATTACTACTGGTAGCTAGAAGCTACCAGTATCAAGGGCGTTACTACTAGTAGCTAGAAGAAGCTACCAGTATCAAGGGCATTACTACTAGTAGCTAAAAGCTACTAGTAGCTAGGACATTACTACTGGTAGCTAAAAGCTAGAAGCTACTAGTAACAAGGACATCACTACTGGTAGCTAGAAGCTACCAGTATCTAGGGCATTACTACTAGTAGCTGGAAGCTACTAGTAACAAGGACATTACTACTAGTAGCTAGAAGCTACCAGTATCAAGGACACTACTACTAGTAGCTAGAAGCTATTTGTAAAAAGGACTTTACTACTAGTAGCTAGAAACTACCAGTATCAAGGGCGTTGCTACTAGTAGCTAGAACCTACTAGTAGCAAGGACATTACTACTAGTAGCTAGAAGCTACCAGTGCCAAGGGCATTACTACTAGTAGTTAGAAGCTACTAGTAACAAGGACATTACTACTAGTAGCCAGAAGCTGGTAGTAACAAGGGCAATACTTACTACTAGTAGCTAGAAGCTACTAGTAACAAGGATATTACGACTAGTAGCTAGAAGCTACCAGTAACAAGGGCACTACTACAGTAGCTAGAAGCTACTAGTAACAAGGGTATTACTACTAGTAGCTAAAAGCTACTAGCAACAAGGGCATTACTACTAGTAGCTAGAAGCAGCTAGTAACAAGGGCATTACCACTAGTAGCAAGAAGCTACTAGTAGCAAGGGCATCGCTACTAGGGTGGAGGTTGTTACTAGCAGCTTCTAGCTACTAGTAGTAATGCCGCAATGCCCTTGTTACTAGTAGCGATGCCCTTGTTACTAGATGCAATACAGTAATCACTCGGCAAAAAATGTTGAAACCATTTATTCGTGCATTACCCTACGACGCTACGACGTACCCTTTGAGTGGATTCTTTCACGTCTTGTCAGCACAAGCTGGACATGTTTGAGGGTCATGTTTTGGTTCTGCCCTATCTTCGTGAATTGAACGCTACGTCAACGCCTCCGGCTCGACTGCTGTCTCGACATTGGTGGTGGTGCCCGGAGTGTCCTGGCCATTGTGACACCCTCTGCGTTTTCAATCACATTCGCAGGAATAGGTGATGCATTGCTATATGCGGAATTGGTGACGCATGTTTGTCGCACCACTGCGATCGTTCACAACATGAACATGCAAGACGGAGCGTTCTTAGTGTTTGCCAGGCAGCTAGCAGCATATAGATTGAAAACGCACAAACAATAGGCATAACAAGTGCCTATGTGACATAGTCGAGATGGCAAGCAGGCATTAGCAAGCATTACATAGTCAATGACATCGTACAAACTACGTAACATGTACCCTGTACACTGTAATCCTTGTCTGAGTCTTTTGAGCCCAGGCAGGGAATCTGAATCCCAAAAATACATACATTCTAAAAGGGGCTTATTGTTACTAGTAGCGATGCACTTGTTACTAGTAGCGTGGCACTTGTTTCTACTAGCTTCCTGTTACTACTAGTAAGGCACTTGTTATACAATTACAATGAAATCCCAAAATTGATCATCCGTTCAGTCTCTGGTGCTGCTTCAGCCAGCCAGCCTCAGGGTCCTCTTCTGTCCGTGCCTGATGAAGAGTGGGTCTTGAGGACGTGTCGGAAAGGGACTATATAGTTTCTTGTTACTAGTAGCATCTTGGTCCTGGTAGTAAGGCACGGAGCTGCTAGTAGCGTCCTTGCTCATAGCAGAAATGCCCTTTGTTACTAGTAGCTTAAGTAGTTTACTATATCTTCAGAGCAAACATATCATTGTTTCATATCATTGTTTCAATATCAGTGGTCCATTGCCGGGCAAGATGCACTGGCGGAAACCGGTGGGAACAAACCTGCAATTTAATTTCACGGCCCTGTGTTTGTCAAAACATGCAACGGTTCTTGTTAGTCACGCAGTGTAAGACGCAATTGGAGATGGGGATGGAACAAAGACTATCAGCCGTTGACCTATGCCCCAAAGACAATTACTGTTCAAATCGCAAACCCCAGCTGTTTGCAAAATTGCGCCATTGCGCCCATTGTGCCTTTTTGGCAGGCGGCTCCATCACGGCGAACGGTCTCGTTTTGAGCCAAACTATCTCGCAAACAAGTGAATCCTGGAGAAACTGAGTGCCATCATAGACAATTCCTGAAGTATTCCATGGTGCTAGAACTGGCAAGTCAAGCTCATCCTCAAACATCCGTAAAGTTTGAGCTTTAGCAAGCTAAGCTACTTGAACATTTCAATTTGTCCAGCTATGTCCAGCTATTCAATTTCAAAACATGCTTTAAATAGAAAAGAAAACACAGCCGAACAGGAATGGGTGGAATTCCGCCTGTCGTTTGCAGTGCCTTAAATTCCTGGGACTGCGCGCCAATGCCCTCTATCAGGTGATCAACTGAGTCTCCCACTTGGCAGCCGGTGGCCAAGATGCCATCCTGCAAGATTTGCTGAAATCACGGCATGCGGGTCATTTACTACCCTCCGCTCTCATTGGCTAGACTGAGACTGATTTGATCAACCAGGGGATCAACAAACACACAAAGACTGTTCTACTCGAGGAATGGCCACCTCCTGTTTTCACTTATGGCTCTAGCACCACACCAAAGATAGTGTGGCTGGTATGGTAGCACTATGTAGCACTGCTGCAGCGGTAGGCATTTCCCCGCTGGTAAAGTGCTACAGTTTTGTTCGTTTGCTAAGACCTTCAACGATGATGTCAGGCTGCACGCACTTGTTCGCTTCAAATTTATATACACTACTACCTACAAGTATCATGTGACCTTGTCGTTCTATATGATTTCCAAGCGCCTGCATTGAATCAAGGTTTTGATATTTGATGCACACACACACATCACCTGCATGAACTGATATTATGCATTGGGTCTACCCTATTACCTGTAACAGTGGATGATGATGGTTAGTAGAGGCCTTGTCCAAAAATAGTGATAATTGATGATAATTGTTTACTGACTGTTACAGGTAATAGGACAAATCCTAATTATGCAGATTGCTCGTCAAGAAAAGTTGCACCACATTGCGATACATTCTTCAAACATTGATGCCACTCCTGACTTGAACATGGATTCAAGTCATTTTGCTTTGGAGCGATGGATTACATCCAACTGGAAACCTACTTAGGCCGCAAGTTCGGGCTTACGCAAGATGTACAAGTCCAAACACAATGTTTCTCGAGAGAAACCGCCTCCCGAACAAAACCATGTAAAACCAAACTCCTGGGAGAACCCAAATACGGGTGTTCCACAGTTTGAAACGCGATTGGCACCAACTGTTTACCCCAAACTTGGAATGGATGTATGTATGCTTAAACAGAATGAAACACCATCTCACTTGTTTAAGACCTTTAGACATTTGTCCAAATGAATCAGACTCATCCATCATGCTCTCTTCTGCCTTCGCTAGGCTCACATCTTTTCTCCAACCGCCTTAAGCGAGTCGGCTCTCCAAAATAGTCTGACAACCACGGGCAAAGCCCCTGGCCACTGTCAGCTGGCAACACACGTACATCTTGCTCAGAGGCTCATGCGTCTTCTGCGAATCAAGCACCCAGGCTTGATTTCATGCGCACTGGTGCCATGGAGGCATCCCGCGCAGGCTCCTCTAAGGTAAACATGGTTACATATGTCTATACATATGCGGCTTCAATGGCACATCGCTACAACAAATCGTCGCTTGTTCAACAGGATTGTCCAGGAACATCAAGATACCTCAGCAAAGCAACTTTACATGAAAACAACGGCGCTCTGAGCGCAAGCCAGGGATTCTATGTTCACTCCAACTTCAGTGCCAGTGACACTGCGTCGTTCCAACGGGTGGGTGGCACTGATCAACTGCTCCGCATAGAAAAAGGATAACCATCAGGACTGAAAGTTTGTCGAAAGCTCGCACGAGGCAGGAAAACAAAGCAGCTATCGGGAAAACCTGGAACGCCGGAGCATCCGGTTTCACATTCTTGGCTTCACATTTGTGGGTCGGACATCACAAGCTGGTCTCATCTCTTAAAACCATGAAGAAGGACCAAACTTAGACAAAGACAGTTGAGCACTCATGTTGGTATCTGATCATATCGATCTTGCACTTATATAACAGAATCAACCGATGTCCTTCCGGAACCCCAAACACAATGGTCAACGGTCCCAAATCCTCTTGTCCAGCTGTGTGCCTCGACAGGACTCCAAACAGCCTTTCCCAGGAATTCCGATTGGATCCTGACGCTCTCTGACGTCCGTCCTCATCCTCAGAGTATCTTTGTGGCATCAAACATTGACAAACAACTCCAATCATCCTTGAGGTAATATCGTCAAAACAGCATGTATAATGCTTTTCATTTCAGGATCCCACACGCCACAATAATTCCACGTAGCGAGCTTCGACTGCCTACTCGATTCGGAACTGAACACGCCACGGGCTTTCTAGTTCCGAGAACGACGTGCCAAGCCCAAATGGATGCAATACAGTGTCAAACGAAGAAAAGGGATAAAGAGCGCGGTACGTGCAGGATAGGTTTGGTCGTAATTTCCTAAAATATCCTAAAATGATGCCTCCACGACATTGTAATTACAATTGTTGTACGACCAGAACAAACTTACCGGGTGACCTCAAACCCCAGCCACAATGTCACAAGGGTAAAACACATCTGCAAAATGCCAGGGGTGACCGCTGAGGGCATGAACTAGGGCATCCCCGGCTTTCGTGGTCTAGGGCACGCTCCAGTGTCTAGATTAAGGTTTTCTGGTGCAAAGAATGCACCCCTTCGCCGTAGCACAACTTACTGTGGTGCAAGGCCTTTTCCAAAACAAAGTACGAGTAGAGTAGAGGTAGGTTGGGTACAACAAAAAACAAAGTACTGTGAACAGAGTGAACAGTCGTACCAGCCAGTGGCAAAACAGGAATACAAGTATCCAGCACTGATTTGTTTTTTGTTGTTGTGACTTCTTTGAAGTTGTCTCCTCTTTTCTTGCTTGAGGTTTGATCATTTGGTTGGCAAGACACAAAAGCCTCTATTCATTTTCATTCAAGTTTATCTAGTCTAGAGTCTAGAGTCTAAGTCTATTACAATTCCTCAAGGCATCAGAGCGGGCTAGGCTCGTGGCATTCGGGGCAATTACATGCCGAACATACAGCGCAAGATGATGACACATGCCAAAATTTGAGGTTCGATGCTCTACAACTTGGAGAGTTGCCAACATCTTGCACGCCAAACCATTAGCTTCTGATACAGTTTGTGAATTTCACAAAGCAGGCACCATTTCCGCTCTACCTTCGGACTCGTAGACTCTATTCTTCGACAGTCCACGAGTGGGAGAAGGCAAACCCCCAAACGAGGCGGATGCAGTCTCACCACCTCAGCCATGAGCATGGTCAGTACAATCACAGTTTGCCACATTATCTAAATTCCACAACACACTTTCTTATATAATAGATGTTGATTCTGCAAATTACAAAACATGAGGCTACTCAAGTTTAATTTCAAGATCTGCGATGATGGCATTAAACAAAATCACCCCCATTCCAAGTCAAACATAAAGGCGGCCTCTATCAATTCTGCACGTGTCAAATAAATCATGTATCTTCTTGAAGGCCAAGAAACGAAACACTTTCATCGCTGTTACTGATTTGCTCATATTCCGTTGCTTCACCTCCACAGAAGCCTGCAAAGAGGAATGCATGAAACATATACACACAGAAATGTACGGCAACAAAAATTATGTCAACACCTTGTCACTGTAAATTAATTGCATCCCTGTGACAACACACATCCGGCCTGTATGCTGCTTTTAGAGGTTGAACTAGCAAAAAACAACCATAATAGTTGGCCTTGCAACATGTTTTTTGTTCGCAAGACCGGACCGCCCAAGACACGGCAGTTGAATGGCTACTGTGCGAAGGTATATGATGTGCTTGCTAGCGAATGCAAACACACAAACACACATACCCAAGTGGAAGTGCACAGTGGCCGTACGTACACAATGTGTGCAATAGATGCATGTCGCATATGAACATGATTGGTAGATTTGTTTAATGGGTTCTTAATTGTGCAAAGCGTTTCCCCAAAATCATAATCCTGACATATTAGTACTCCTAAGGCACTGGTATCTATATAGTCTATATAGTTGATGCAGGAAAAGGAAACGGAAAGGAAAGGGAAAGGGAAGGAGAGGGAAAGGAGAAGTGAAGGAAAGGAAAGAAAGGAGAGGAACGGAGAGAAGAGAGAAGAGGAGATGAGAGGGAAAGGAGAGGTGAAGGAGGGCAAAAACAAGAAGAGGAAAGGGAAGGCAAAGGGGAGGAGAGGGAGAGGGAAAGGACGTGGACAGGAGGGAAATGAAGGTAGATGGGTTGCGCCGTCTGTTGCTTGGTTTGATGATTTGGTCACCCTCACCAGGGGGCATTCGTCCCCCACTGTGGTGCCAGTTATTTTCCCTTGCGCTGCAGTTCTCTTGTAGTTACACCACTTGTAAGAGTCATTTATTGTCGTGTGTGTGTGAGTTGTTAACTTCTTGTACAATCTTAATTATATGCTTGTGAGCTTCCTTATCTGTGCCTGCAATGTGTTGTAAGCGGTGTGCCGCATAGTCTGGAACTGTCCAACGAACAGGCTTATTAGTCAAGATCCCGCACTTGACGCCAGAAAAGGGTGAACGAAAGCTAGCCACTGCTGAGTGCAGTTTGTCCTTCCGGCGCAAGAGCAATGGGAGTTGAACACCCCCGGTTGGGGTGGTCCATATCATTGTGTAATTAATCGTTTGAAGTCTCTGAGGCTGCGGTCCACCCGTTCAATTCCTAGCTGAGGGTAGCTTTCGTGATCAGTAGGCGAGGTAAGCTCAGGAGCCACCATGGCGATTCTTCTCCACAATGCCTTTTGGGAATTGGCTGATGAAGATGATGAGGATGATGAGTATGAGGCACCTTGGCTTGGAAGGGGGAAGGGGTCAAGGAAACAGTGGGTTGGCTTTACATTTTCTGGGGTGGAAGGCATGACGAGAAGAACCGTGGGCTGGGGAAATAGGAATGATAGAGTTTGGCTCATCTGTGCGTCAAATTGATGAGAACATCAGCTCACCGTTCCATAAGCAGCAATGATTGGCGCCATGGCATGAGTGGCATTTTACCATGACGAGTGGCCTGGTGACGTGCATGGGGAAGATGAAGGATGAGATCATCCAATCAGTAGATGGGCTTCATGAGAGCACAGGCAACATTGATTGAGCTGAGGTTGGACTAGCATTTGAGATGAAGCTCATTCAGTTGAGGGGGTGAGTGGTGAACTCATGGGATGATGAAGCCCCCTGCGCAGTGGAAATGAGGACCCCTTTGAGGAAGTCCTGCTGTCCACCCTCTCAATTCCTTGCTAAAGCAAGAGTGACCAGCTGGCTGAGGTAGCCTTCGTGATCAATACCATCAGCCACGCAAACTCCGGGATTGAGCCAGAAGGAAAACGCTTCCTCATAACGTTTCACAAGAAATGTCGACGCATGATGAAGACCCCCACCGCTATGAATTTAGTCAACGTTTTTCCTGCAACACCCCTTTCACAGAACCTCCAGGCCAATTTTCAAAAAGTGGGCGCAACAATCGCAACCAAATAATTTTGGCCCAACTGCTTTGTCGAAGAATTCCCGCAGTACCAACCGCCTCTCTTCCCGTTCTTCAACCCTCCTTAATTTGATGAGTTCTCTAAATGATATTAAGTCTTGGGGATCCGCCCTCCAGATTATTTGGTTCCCAGACGTAGGTGGGGGGAGTTTATCAATCATGCGTCGCCATTATCGCGAAGATATTGCCAAATTCTTACAACATGTCGATCGCGCATCCACATGAAAGGGGCGTCGAAGGTTTTCTTAAAACAGCAGGCACACCTGCAAACCTGTTGAAAATTAGGAGCGAAACCTCCGTTGACAGTTTTCGTTTGTGAACCTTCTCATCTCTTGCAAAATACTATTAGGAAACGCGCAAAAAAATCTGTTCTTGTGGCTGCATGGCAGAGACCAAAGCATGTGTTGAAGAAGGTCGACGACTTGGCTGTGGAGTCTTGCGGAGTCGTAGCTTGCCACCGACGCGTGAATTTCATTCAGCCACAGTGGCTACTAAGGCAATGCCACTGCGATGCAATGCGGTACCGACATGAAGCCGTCACGGCAAACAGTCTCCACAGCGGCGGCTGCAGCTGCATTACACACTGAGCTTTGCCGCAGAATGCGTCAACAGTCATAACAACAGTTGGAACTACAAACCCAAACGTGAAAACGAGTTCCAGCAATATCTCAGACCGCGAAAACTTCGCACGACCTTCACACTATGTCTCTTCTGTCCATCCAAGGTCTTGCCCAAAAGTTTCCCCAAGTGGGAGGCATCAAGCGCTGAACAAATGCGGTCGCCCCAAGCAAACGTCGAACGAGGATATAATTAAAGGAAGGCGCAATTCAATCCATATTGTTTCCCGCCAAATTGTTTTCCCATCAAGGGGGTGGAACCCGCAAAAAAAACAAAGCGGCTTTGTTCCGCAATCTGGTTTTTGGAAAGGATGGCCGGGGCAAAACTACAAAACGCTGTTCCTTTTTTTCATTCGTCAGGTAAAGGTTGGATTCTATGTCCATTTTGTCGCCTTCGCCTGCCTGCGCCTCCCTTCCCACCTCCCTTCCTGCATACGTTCTGACTTTTGATCGGCTGTGAAGTCTGACATGTGTTTTGTGGCATACATACATGCGTTTCTGCATCAACATTTGGCCCGTGTTCTGAAATGTGTTCTGAGACGGCCCAGCAATTGTTCTGATATGTGTTCTGACATTATTTTTATTGCGCGTTCTGGTCATCAAATCTCCCATATGGTCCGACACATGTTGTGACATATGTTGCATATGTTCCGTCATGTTTTCTGTGATGTGTTGTGACATGAGTCTGATGTTTATTTGTTCTGGCATCACACCCGACACGCGTTTCGACATTTGTTCTGACACGTTCTGTCGCCTTGCGCCTGACAGTGCAATTTTCCGGCAAAGCACTCCCGCGGACAGCGCGCGCTGTGCACACCCTTACAAGTCTTGAGTCTTGATGCCAGAGAATACATGTCAGAACATTGCTTCCACGCGCACGCTTGTCAGAACAATGTCAATGGAGGGGAGTAAAAGATATCAGATATCAATATGGTTATGGGGGGTGAATGCGAGAGCCCTGGTGAGCTCCCCACCTCTTTTCCCATCACCTCCTCCCCCGCTATGCCCATTTTGTGCATGTGCGTCTGGTCAACAGGTTCTGTTCCCTCCCTGTTCCCAATGAAAGGTTCACATCGTTTCTTGCAATCCCTCTTTTCCTATCACGTCCTCCTCCACTATGCCTGTCTCGTCCACATGAACTCCCACCACATATGGGGTGCCCTTTTCAGCGTTAAAAAAGGGCACCCCCAAGCAATTCAAAGCTTGCCCGCTACATTTTGTTCTCTTTCCTGCCCTCAACGGACCACAGCATGACACGAACTCGCACCCCATATGGGGTGCCCTTTTGCGTATAGTTAGTTAGTTGACAAGCGTCTTCAGCACCATTTAAACAGGGCACCCCCAAGCAACTCTAACATGTCTTGCAAACACTCTCTTCCTACCACGTCCTCCTACACTATGCCTGTCTTCCTTCCCCACAGCATTCTGGTTCCTCACAGATCACACAACGTCTTAAGAGACACACACGCACCGAGGCGCACGTCTCCCTTTTCTGGAAGAGTTCCAACCACTTTTCGCGTCCCATAGTCCCTCTTTCCTATCATTGACATGAACTCCCACCCCCGGTTTACATCGCCTCCTGAGCCCCTCGCGATGCTAATGATGCACTACTGGCCTTCAATTACATCACCGGCGTCACAACACCCCTCAAAACCACTCATTTTTCACTACCAAGTGGCCCGCCTCTTTTTGTCGCTGTCCCCCACCAGGCTCTGGGTTCACTCTCCGAAAAGTAGCCACCGCGCAACCACCCCCCCCACACCCCTTTACTCACTTCGTTCGCTCCAACAACCTCAAGCCCAGCCTACCGGCTGGCTTTCGTGACAATGTCAATACATGTGCCTTGCCTTGTTCAAAGCCACCTCTTCAACACTCGAAGTAGAGAAATCTGCACTCATACGTTTTCCCATATGTTCAGGGACCAGTGTCGCATGATTGCATATACATACTGTGAACATAATATGTAAAAACTATATCTATATATATTTTTTTCCATATACGAAAATCAAATCGCAACTGCTCCAATCTCCGATCAATCAGCCATGCTGCCATGTGGTCTAAGTAAGTTTGTAGAAAAATTGAGCTAGACTGCTTCCACATTTCTTGTGGGTGTGTGCATTCTGTACCTCCAGTGATTCAACAAGTCCACATTCATTCACGATTGATCAGCTTGATTCGATGAAAAGCCCGGCCTTGGACACTTTCATCAGTTTCTTGAAGAGCTTTGTGACTTTTGTCTCGGCGGCTGCGCAGTGCAGCGCCGCCAACGCTGGCAGTTCCAACTGTCAACCGTGTGAATCAACTGGCGAGAACTAATCGAACCTTTTGAAATCCCAAAATGAAACAAACCGACTTTTAGCGACCTCTATAGGACTAACAAAACACGAGGCTCCTGCAATCTGCAGGTGTTCATTGCATGGTTTTCACATGTTTCATTTTGTGTAAAAAGTCCCCAGCTCCTGTGCCCAGCACCCACACGTGCAACCAGGCGGCGTCTAAGTTCTTAATTTCTGCGTGCATTGCCACTTGATCAATTGCACGAGCAGGCCCTTTGCATCGCATTATTCCATCTATGAACTCGTCCAGGGTTACCTAACGATTGAGGAAAAAGAAGAAAAAAACGAAGAAGAAAGAACCGAGAATCGCACGTGACTGCTCGAAGCGCAACACAATATTGCAACAGCAAACCAAATGTGCAACTTAAATTAAAGTGGTGCGAGCAAACACATTGTCATCCTGTTGTCACAAGAACAACAGACGCTTGAGCCCGTTCGACGCCCACGAACCCACACCTCACCATCTCCGTTGTCCAAAAGATGAAACAAAGCTGCGCCTTCATGCCTTGGTTGCAACTGCGTGCGCGTGTTGAAGCGAGTGTCAAGCTTTGTTAATTGTTTCTACCTGCAACGAACCTGACACACGACATATAACCTCTTGGCAAAGACTCGCTTTTCAGCGACGGGGGGACTGACCCTTTCTCAAGGGACTGAGTTTTGAACCCAGGCCCGAAAGCATCTCGCAACAATGGCAATTGATAACTTTGAAAGGCGCGACATCCCAATGGCCAACAGTAGGTTATGATCCCAGGCTCGAAGTGTGTGTCGGTGGAGCAGTCACCGGTCCGAAAAGTCGGCGGCAAAATTCAAATCTTTCCAGTCGACGATTCGAGAAACTAGTACTGTTCGGGCTATACATTTTGGCAAGTGTTTTGTAGACTTGACAGCTCCTTTGGACCTGAGGTTTCCAGCAGGCAGGAGCCTACCAGGGGCACAATGACCAGAGCGAATGGAGCTTCAGCAGAGTTCATAGTCTGTATTGAAGGATGGCATTGTCCAGATGTCAATTTCAATGCACCTTCCTTCCAAGGTTCACAGCCATTGAACATTTTCATTTTGGAAAGCTTGCAAGACCTAGCAGAAGCAACTTATATCCAATAGCATACGCAGGCATACGCCAGAAACTGTCATTTTCTATATTTCCAGACTCATTACCAGGGAAAATATCCAATTCTTTTGAGGACCAGGATGCGCATGTTTGATACGTATTGGCTTTACCTACAAGAGTTCTACTTGATTGACAAGATGGTCAACAAGCTTGAAGGCATAGCAGTACCATGGACTGTGTGAACACGTAGGCACCTGTACAACATCAAGATCCCTCACCTATCTTATGTAGCTTCCATATTTTATGGTATTCTGCTGCAATAAAAAATTATGTCTTATGTCTGACATATGTTTTTCTACTCGACCTTGGTATTGACGTTGCTTTCTGATCTGTGTACAAAACATCTGTGCATCCATGGAGCTCAGAAAAAATCTTGCGAAAAGCAGGCGAGAAATCTCTGCTCTCTCTCTCTCTCTCTCCCTCGTTCTTTTCTGTTCTTTCTCTTTTCTTTTCTTGATATCCGTGACAAAATCAATGAAGCCACTGACCGCAAGTTAAGCCCGAGCCAAATCTAGATAGTGAAAGGCCCCGACTCGACCCTTTCTTCTTTTCTATTCCATCTCTTTGCTTCTTTTTATATGGCTAACCAGGAAGAGGACCATGGTTGGATAAAATCTTTTTTTCTCAAGCCAACGACGAAGTCGCCTGTGACTGCTTGCATCTAATTACGAATTGTGCATCGGTGGGTCAGCCCTTCGGTGAGAATCTGGTCCCATAGCTAGTTTTTAAACAGCCACAGTGAACCACGAGGGCAGCTCCTCAGAGACCTCAGAATATGGCTGACTTTGAACAAAGAGCGCAGCAAACACACGACATAGCCTCCCTGGGTACTCCTTCAGCACTGACGTCTTCCATGCACCGGACTCGTCCCGCCACGAATTCGCGGCAAAGGGGTAGATAAGCCACAAAAAAACTTGCGCGCGTCGCATCCACTGTTTGCGATCAGCAAGTCAGTCGCCTGTGGTGCGAGCCCACCAAAGTGCCCTTGCAGGATGCGAATCTTGGCACAGTCATCAAGCCCCATGAAAAAGTTAACAACTTCAAGCCACCAAATACATTGCTGGAAGATCTGGCCGATCATCAGGGGCGGCTGGACGCTCAATCACAGCAATCGCTCCCACCAGATGCGCTGTAAGGAAGTACTACCAAGCGAGACCTGTTCAGCCTCTCTTTTGGTCAAGTAGAAATGCCCTTGGGGTCTTGTTCGGCTTCTCAATATTCGCGCCCCACCATCGTCAGTCGATCTGGCTCTCGACCATGGGGGACCGGACAGAAATCCTAACAAGATTCGTTCCTTCATTGCACGGTGAAAAAGATCGAAGGTGGAAACCTGCAAGAGATCACCCCAAGTGGTATCAAATATTATGTCAAATATTGGTGGTATAAAATCCAATTACTTTACTTCGAGTGATCCCCACCATGACATTTCAATCATTTGTCTTGATGCCATAGTGAGGAGCATGTTGCCATAGTCGTTAGTATTGTAGTTCTCGATGTTGCTTGTGGGTCCTCTGGTTGTGTGCTGTGGTTGTGTGCTGTGTTGTGGTTGTGGTTGTGTTTGTGGTTGTGTGTTTGTGGTTGTGTCTGTGGTTGTGTGTTTGTGGTTGTGTGTTTGTGGTTGTGTGTTTGTGGTTGTGGTAGTGGTTGTGATTGTGTGTTTGTAGTTGTGGTTGTGGTTGCGGTTGTGTCTTTGTGATTGTGTGTTTGTAGTTGTGGTTGTGGTTGTGTCTTTGTGATTGTGTGTGTTTGTGGTAGTGGTTGTGGTTGTGATTATGTGTTTGTAGTCGTGGTTGTGGTTGTGTCTTTGTGATTATGTGTTTGTAGTTGTGGTTGTGGTTGTGTCTTTGTGGTTGTGTGCTTGTACTTGTGGCTGTGGATGTGTGTTTGTGGTTGTGTTTGTGGATGTGTTTGTGGTTGTGTTTGTGGTTGTGTGTTTGTGGATGTGTGTTTGTGGTTGTGTGTTTGTGGTTGTGTGTTTGTGTGTGTGTTTGTGGTTGTGTGTTGTGTGTATGTTTGTGGTTGTGTGTTTGTGATTGTGTTTGTGACTGTGGGTTTGTGATTGTGTTTGTGGTTGTGTGTTTGTGGATTTTATCTGGCAAACTATCTGGTTGAGGTCCAGCGGTGCACACTGCGATCGGATCCTTGCGGTTGAGGTCCAGGGGTGCACACTGCGATCGGATCCTTGCGGTTGAGGTCCAGGGATGCACACTGCGATCGGATCCTTGCGGTTGAGGTCCAGGTGTGCACACTGCGATCGGATCCTTGCGGTTGAGGTCCAGGGGTGCACACTGCGATCCGGAGCTGGCCAGACAAGATCGGCAAGCAGATTGGCGACGAAGATTGACGAGGAAGGAAGCAAGGAGGGAGGAGGAAGGAGGAGGACGAGGAGGCGGCGGAGGCGGAGGAAGAACAACTGTGATAAAATCTAACAACCCTCACCTGGTAGGTGGGGAATGAACATCAAAACCTGCCTGGATAATTTCCATGAAAAGCCTCAATGAAATTATCAACTTCCTACTTGGGTGGATTATTTTCAGGGACACACACACGCACCCTTGTTAGGTAGCTCAGAGGTTGGCAAAGTCTTGGGTCAACCCCCATCAATTTTATCCGCCTAGTACGGCCCCCTATCTACAACGGCTCTTTTACCCAAACCTTAACAACAGATTCCTTCCAACTCAAATGAGCGCAGGAAGCTCAATAGCAGTGTTGAGGGTTCCTTGGCAGCCTCAGAGTCTTTGAAATGTGGGTTGCGTGCTGCGGTCCTGCACACACGTGCGCGGGCCCTCGACTCGACCCTTTGCCACAATGGCAACACCATATAGTATATAGGGATGTATAGGGCGCATTGCCCCATTGAAGCTGCTAAACCTGCGTATAGAGCAGTGCTTGGCGTGAAAGTTGCCCTATTCAGTAGGGTCAGGTCAGGGTCTCGTTTGTTAAACGCAAGTCTCCACCACCAAGTAAAAACGACTATACCAAACGCCGGCCAGTGGCCGCAGCCCATTTAACATCCGGCGATGCCGTTTTGGGAATGGAGGAATGGGGGATAGAGGTGGTTGTAGGGCAGGCTGCACAGGTGGGTATTGTTGTTGTACTTGTGGTGGTGGTGGTGGTGGTGGTGGTGGTGGTGGTTGCTGTGGTAAATGGTGTGGTTATAGTAATATATATAGTAGTTGTGGTTGGGGTGGTGGGCCATGATGCCATGACACGGCATGTCGGCGGCCAAATGGCCGGACACCGGTCGAACTCCAAGCCGGGGTGCGTTTGAAGGTCTTGTCCCAGCTGTTGGGTCATTGTTGTTGCTGTTGTTGGAAGAGAGAAAAGGTGAAACAAAAGGTGGTATAGCTCTCGGAACGAGCGCCTCTTCATCGGAACAAAAACATCAGTCTGCCTGGGGGGTCGTCAGTCCACTGCGTGGATGGGCGCGCGTGCACCCCCTATCTGCTTCGCAGAAGGAGACCCTTCTGGCCACGGACTAGGGCCTAGCAGGGTCCCTAGCTGGATGGGCGCGCGTGCGATGTCGCCGATCTGCACAACGTTGCGGCATGTTCATGGGCATGAAATATCGGGATAGGGGAGACCATGAGCTTCCCATTGGAAAGAAGATCACCCAAAGCATTTTTGTATTTGCACTCGTGAGCGGATCAGCTTGAAGGGTTCAGTGGTCAGTGGACCCGAACAATCACATTAACCAAAGAAAGCAAAAGCGACCATGAACCATTAAGCCAATGCCACTTCAAAAAGAAACTAACTGGACTGACCAGGTGAGTAGGGTGTCCTTTTGCATGCCTGGACCAAGCTGGGTCCAGAAAATGTCAAACCTAAACCAACTTGAAACTGCAAGACTGCGCCCACATTGATGCATCCAGCGCCCAGTCAGCTCAGATAATTTGGGCAAATAATGTTCTACAGAAGAATTTGAAGCCACTACTGACAGAAACAAAACAAGATGAACATGAGCTTCCCTCACCTCCACAATGAAGTGGCTCAAAATTTGAGTCAGTTCAGCAAGGTTTCAAAGAAACTTATCCAGCACACCTGAGCGGCCCAAGGGAATCATCTAGCATCATAAGCTGTGGGAGTAGCTGGGGAGCTGGAAGATGAGAACTGGCGACTTTGTAGTAAAACTTTAGTACGCGGAGTACCTGGGGAGCTGGAAGATGAGAACTGGGGACTTGGTAGTACAACTTTAGTACGCGGAGTATCTGGGGAGCTGGAAGATGAGAATTGGCGACTTGTAGTAACGAGTGTCCCAAAAGAGTGCCCCGCAAGAGTGTCCCACGACCCTATGTCTTGGAAGCGCTGTGGCACCTGGAAGGTTTGCGCGCGGAATGGCAGAGAGACTTCAGCGCAACAACACACCGAGGCTAACTTATGTCGCGGGTCGTCCGTCGAGACTGTTCGGGACGAACCTAGGACATCATCGCTCAAACGACGCGATCCGCGGCTGCCACAAAAAGAGTCATCGTGACGTTAGTATGTCTACATTCACCTTCATGACAAACGATGTTCGCTTGGAATACACGAGTCGCTTGTCATGATCGTGACGTCGTTTGCTCTCAGGTCGCCCTGTTCGTGGCAACTTCAGTGTGAAATGTACGTTCTTCAGTTCTATTTGAACCTCTTCAGCGTTGTACTTGCGCAACTAAGGTTGACGTTGCGCTGCCGTTGCGTCGACGCATCTCCGTC